CACACACTGGGGCCCCGGGCCAGGAGCCGGGAGCAATGGGGGAAGGCGTGGGGGTGGGGGCTGGTGGGCGGGGAGCAGAGCCAGCTAGGGCACCGGACCTTGCTGGAGAGCTGGGTCTCAGGGGTGCACAGGGTCCCCCCGGAGTGCCTGGGAACATTCCCAAGGTGACTCACGGCCAAGTCACACATAATGTCACCAAGAATCACGGGCACGAGTTCCAGCCCCAGCAGGGGCACGGGTCCGCCTGGCTCCACACGTCTCACCCAGGCACTCCCACCAGCTCACGGACAAGGGGATTAAAGGCAGGCTTCATTTGGATGCAAGGAATTTTGAAACCCGTGCCCACCAAGGGGTCTTCTAGAACGCTGTGGAAAACCTATGTGCCCAATCCAAAACGCGTTGGCATCCAGATATGGTCATCTTTTATTTATTTATTTGTTTGAAAGAGTGACAGGAAGAGAGAGAGACACACACAATGAGAGAGAGAGAGGGAGAGATCTATCTGCTGGTTGACTCTCGCAGTTGATTAATTTTATGTATTGGGAAGGCAGACAGACAGACAGACATAGATCGTCCATCCGCTGATTCACTCCAGCAATGGCAGGGGCAGGGCCATGGTGAAGCCGGGATCCAGGAAGCTCCATCCGGGTCTCCCACGTGGGATGCACAGACCCAAGAACTTGAGCCCTCACCTGCCGCCTCCCAGGGTGCACGTGAGCTCCCAGGGAGCTGGCGTTGGAAGCAGAGCCAGGACTGGACCCGGGCTCTCCGACTGGGAGGCTGCATCCTGAGTGACATCCTAGCCACCCGGCCGAATGCCCGCCCCTGCCCAGACTTTCTGAAGCGCCTCTGTGCAGCCACACCTCCCCCAGCCACACCCCTGACACCCATCCCACCAGCAGCACACGGAGGCTGGGAGCCAGGCTGCACCCAGAACCCCTTCCCACTTGAACACACCCGCGCTGTCCACGCCCACCACGCTCAGCCTCCTGCCCACCACACGCAGCTTGTCCCTGTCCCACGATCCTTACCCCCAGCCACAGTCCCAGAAAATAGCTGTCACATGACCAAGTTCACTCCCTGGTGACGTCACCCGCAGGGAGACACGCAGTCCTTGTCACAACCAGCCACACAGAGCCATGGGTGTCTCCACCACACCCACGTCAGTCCTTTCACACACAGTCGCTTCCTTTTAGCTCCCACTGTCACCACCAGGGTGGCCTCCAGGCTTGCTCCCAGCTGGGACCCACAACTCCCGCTGGCACTGTGTGCGCTGAGCCTGGCAGGCCGATCAGCCCCAGGTCCATCCAGATCGGGGCTCCAGGGTCGGGGCAGTGCAGGAGGGGGTGGGGGGGCTCCTGTAGAATCCCTTGGAGCCCCCCCTCACACCTGCTCCCCAGGGGGAAACTGAGGGCCTTTCTCTGCCTTTGCTTTGTGCCCAGAGAGTCCCGGCTGACCTGACCTTGCTGTGTGACTTGCGCCAATCTCTGACCCTCTCTGAGCCTCTCATCCCCAGCCCCACCACAATGCACTAAACATAATAATAATATCAAGCACAGCCCGGGGGAAAAAACACCCCAGACTGAGGACTGTGTCCCAGTTCCCCAGGGGACCTTGGCCAGGTGACTTTACTTTCTTCTTTTTAAAGGTTTATTAATTTATTTGAAAGACGGACTGACAGAGAGAGGTCTTCCCTCCGCTGGTTCACTCCCCAGATGGCCGCCCCAGCAGGGACTGAACCAGGAACCAGGCACTCCATCTGGGGTCTCCCACGTGGGTGCAGGGGCCCAAGGACTTGGGGGTTATCGTCTGCTGCCTCCCAGGCACAGTAGCAGGGAGCTGGATCTGAAGTGGAGCGGCCGGGACTTGAAGCGGCGCTCACAGGGGATGCCGGCACTGCAGGCATCAACTTTGCTCCTGTGTGTGCCTCAGTCTCCCCCAGCAACCCAGAGGCGCCGCTCCTCACCTTTCTAGAGCTGTCCCTGCCGGTTCCCCTGGGATGGAGTGGGGGGAGGGGTGCATGGTCACTTTTGGCTAACGCGCTGTAGGACCGGAACTCCTCCAAGCTCAGGCGCCAGTGGGGTGAGACGGCGGCCAGGGAGGAAGGAGTTGGCCTCGTCCCAGGGCGCACGGCAGCCCGATGCCAAGGCGGGGAGTGGCGCAGAGGGTCCCGGGGCCACGCAGAGCCTCATGGGGGGGGGGGGGCCTTGGCCAAGTAGCTGTGTCCTCAGCCGTGTGCCATGGCCAGCGAGAAAACACGGCTTCGAGTCCCACTCGCGGCAAGATCTCCACCAAGGTCTCTGTCAACCCACACAGCCCACGACGCCTTCCCCCAAGTTGGAAAATAAGAAAACAGGCCCCGAGAAGCCGAGATGCTGGTCTAAGCTCCCCCCAGCCAGGGAGCTGGCCAGCCAGGGCCCTCCCCTCCCCCCCCCCCCCGCCCTAGGGTCTGTGTCTGTCCCACCCTTCAGTGCCGGCTGGGCGTGCGGTGTCTCCAGCCCCCTCTAGCCCAGCAGAGCCGGATCTGGAAGGCACCAGCACACAGGAAGCCCTGCGGGCTAGGGGCTGGCGAGGCGGCCGTGCCGCCAGTGACCCAGTTCCCAGACTCCCCCCCCTTTCCCCGGCAAAGATGCCAGGAGGGTCCTTCCTTCCCGGCCCTTGAGAAAGGGGCTGGGTCCCCGACCATTCAGCCGAAGCCAGGAGCCGCCTGCAGCCAGCGGCCGCTGTCTGGAAACTTTCTGGTCACGCAGATCAGCTGGTGCCGGCCTCACCGCGGCACCTCCCTGGCTGCCCCGGGCCCAGCAGGATGCGGCTCCACGCGGTTCATTCACACACGGCCTTTCACCCACCGAGGCTGCTGCCCACGCCCAGGGCCCACGCCGGATGGGATGTCGACGCCTGCTGAATTCCTTCCTGCCCGCTTATTAAGGTGCAGGCTAATACCCCTTCTCCCCCAAGGCCCTTCCTCCAGGGAGAGCGCCTGCTGTCCCAGCCCATCTGGGGCTTAGTCTGGACCCCCTGCAGCTGGGAATGTCTGTGTGGCTCTGTCTCACCCTGCAGGTCAAGAGCTCGCATCTCTCCATCCCCAGCGTGAGGGGGTGGCAGGGGCTTGTCTCATGAATCAGTGGCCCAAATCCATAGCCTGCTAGCTGGCTTGGAAAACTCCTATTTACTCTGCAAAACCCAGCTCACAGGCCCCACTCTCCCTCCTCCAACAAGCCTGGGAAGAGAGACTCAGAGGCTGGGTGTGCTGTGTCACAGGCGGCTGATGGGGACTCCGAGTACTCCCACCATCATGGCCTCTTCCTCAACTCTTTCTTTGGCCTCTGGGAGGCTGTGAGTTGCAGCTGCCCCCAGGTGGAAGGAGCAGACTTCTTCACATAGCAAGGCAGCCCTGGGGCCAGCACGGTGGCATGGTAGCCTAAGCCTCCACCTGCAGCACAGGCATCCCGTATGGGTGCTGGTTCGAGTCCCGGCTGCTCCACTTCCGATCCCGCTCCCTGCTGCTGGGCCCTGGAAAAGCAGTGGAAGATGGCCCAAGTGCTTGTGGGAGACCTGGAAGAAGCTCCTGGCTCCTGACTTCGGATGGGCCCAGCTCCGGCCACTGTTACCATTTGGGGAGTGAACCAGCGGAAGGAAGGCAGCGTCGCAGGCAGTGTGTTGGACTCTCAAACCCGTGCCCAGGGCGCACTCAGCATTCCTCCCTCTATGGCTCAAGTACGGGACGCGGGCCCTTTAAGAAGCGAGCACGGAGGGGCGGGAACGAAATGCAGCCCCGCCCCCGGAGGCGGGGTGTGGCCGGGGCCCAGGGCCTACTGCGCACGCGCCGCTTCCACGCGGTTCCGGGTTCCCTGTTCTGGCTCCCGGGTCGCTTCTGTAGGTCTGTCTGGACTCGCTGTGCAGGGCCTGGCCCCCGGCCATTGCTAGTGGCCCTTGATCCCCCCCCCCCCAGGAAGGGGGTCGAGTCGATATCGGAGACCTGGGGTGGTGAGGCCAGGGGCGGGGCCGGGCCTGGGCCGGGGGCGGGACCCGAACCCTGATCGCGCCCCGACCGAGCCCAGCGGGCCTGCGGCTCCGAGATGACCCAGTCCCTGGTCTGTGCGGAGACGGTGAGCAGGTGAGAGACGGGCGGGGATCCGGGCTTCCAAGGGTGCTGATGGGAGCGGCCCCGTGGGGGTCGCAGCTGGCGGGGAGAGGGTCCCTGCGGTGGGAGGTAGTGGGGAGAGGCCCCGTGGGGGTCCCTGCAATGGGAGGTAGTGGGGAGAGGCCCCGTGGGGGTCCCTGTGGTGGGAGGTAGTGGGGAGAGGCCCCGTGGGGGTCACAGCTGGGGTGAGGGGGGCCCCCGTGGCGGTCGCAGCAGGTGGAGGTAAGGGAGACGCCCCCCCCCCCCCCCCGCCAGAGCTGGGCTCAGCCCCCTCCCCCGGTCCCCGCCCCCCGCCAGGGTGAGTTCGGTGCTGCATCGCAACACCCGGCAGTTTGGGAAGAAACACCTGTTCGACCAGGACGAGGAGACCTGCTGGAACTCCGACCAGGTGCGGCCCACCCCCGGGGACCCGCGTGTGCGAGCTCAGGGGCCTGGATTCCCCCTCCCGGGGGCGGGCGGGGCCCCAGTGTGTGCGCGGTGGGCTCCGAGCCTCGCGTGACCGTGCCCGGGGTCCTGTGTCCCCCCACCTGCTCCCAGGGCCCCTCCCAGTGGGTGGTGCTGGAGTTCCCACAGCGCGTGCGCGTCTCCCAGCTGCAGATCCAGTTCCAGGGGGGCTTCTCGAGTCGCCGGGGCCGCCTGGAAGGTACTGGCTGGCCCCAGGAGGGGGAGGGGCGTTCCGCGGTGGGGTGGGGGCTGCTCCGGATTCCCTGGCCCTCCTTTCTCTGCTGCAGGGTCCCAGGGGGCCGAGGCTCTGAGCAAGATTGTGGACTTTTACCCCGAGGACAACAACTCGCTCCAGATATCCGTGCGCTTGAAAGCCGGGCCCCGCCCCCAGGCCCGGAGGACGTGTGACCTCGAACCAGAAGCGCTCCAAGCTTTAACACGGAGCTTCTGACGGGGTTGGGGCTGGGGTCCAGGGGTGGGAGCTGGCCCTGGGGCAGGGGGCGCACCAGGACCCAGCTGTTTGCCTTGACCGGTGCCCTGCACAGCTTCCTGGTGCCGGCCACCGAGGCGGACCGGCTGAAGGTGACCTTTGAGGAGGCCACGGACTTTTTTGGCCGTGTGGTCATCTACCACCTGCGGGTGCTGGGGGAGAAGGCGGTGTGAGAACTCGGGGGTGGCCGCCTCCTCCGGGAAGCCCTCGAGGAAACACGGCCCAAGCTGAACTCTGCGGAGAAGGTTTATTGGTTCCTCTCAGGAAGGGGTACCCCCTCCCCGGCTCCCCTCCCGCCGCGGCCTGTCCAGGAGCTGCCTTTGGAGCCGACCAGTTGCGGGGTGTCCCGGCCCTGCCCGGCTGTCTGTTCCCTGAGTGTCTGGGTGCCCGGCGCTGGTCTTCACTCGGGGTCGGCGGGCACCAGGTCGCTGTGGAAGAGTTTCAGGATGTGGTTCTCTATCACCTGTTGCACTGCGGGGTGGGCGGGGAGAGGGGGCTGTGAGCTGGGACACGCCGCCTTGGGGGGCCGGCCCAGGGGAGGCCGCGCTGGGGGGCTCCACCCCCGGAAGCCGCAGCTTTTTAAAAGACTTTTTCTAAAGAGTATCTCTTGGGGCTGGCGCTGTGGCGCAGCAGGTTAAGCCGCCATCCCATGGGGGCGCCGGTTTGAGTCCTGGCTGCTCCACTTCCAACCCAGCTCCCTGCGCATGCGCCTGGGAGGCAGCAGCGATGGCCCCGCCCACGTGGGGATCCCCTCCCGGATGGAGCTCTGGGCTCCTGGCTTCAGCCCCGCCCAGCCCTGGCTGTTGCGGGCATTTGGGTAGTGACCCAGCGGATGGAAGGTCTGCCTTTCAAATAAATGAAATAAATCTTTGAAAAAAACCCAAGATTCCAGGGCGGGGCCTCCTGTGTGGCCACCATTGTGCACCGGTGCCCCAGCGAGGGGCAGGCTGGGCGCGCGCTGTCGGCGCGGATGGCCTGTGCACCCCCGCCGCGCCCGCCCCGGGCTCACCTTTCCGGTATCCCAAGGCCACGGCGAGGTCCATCGGGGTGTAGCCGGAGTCGGCCTCGGTGGTCAGATCAGCACCGCGGGCTGCAGGGCGCGGCAGGTACCGGGGGTCGGGGGAGCCCGACCTCCCCACAGCTCTCAAAGTGGCTCCCGGGGTCCTCGAGGCCCAGGACCCTCCCACCCCCACGGCGCGGTCTACCCCCACTCACCCAGTAAGGCCTCGACGCACTTCACGTGGTTCCCACGCACGGCGTACAGCAGCGGCGTCCCCCCGTTCTGTGCAGGGAGCAAGGGAAACCGCGTCTCCATCTTTCCCCGGATTACCACCTGCCCCTGGTCTCAGCCCTCCCTGACTGCCCACGGCTGCCTCGGCTCGTGCGCCTGCCATCACATCACAGCACTGCCTGTCTTGCCCAGACTCTGAGGCTGGGGGGGGGAGGGGGGCGGGATGGGTGTGCCTCGTGTTCCTGGCACCCCCAGCGCGGACCTGACATCCTAAATGTTTGAGGGTGGGAGAGCAGGAGGCCGTGAGGGTGCCCGGCGGGGGGGGGGGGGGGCGGGTCAGGGTCCGCGGGGGCGCCTCACCCAGTCGTAGATGTTGATGTCCACGTCCCGCTCCAACAGCAGCCCCACGATGTCCGTGTAGCCGCCCATGCTGGCCAGCGACAGGGCGCTCTCCCGCTCCTTGGCCAGGATGTGCGGGTCAGCCCCCTGGGCAGTGATGGGAGAGGGCTGGAGACATCCCCTGGAATCCTGGGGTCCCCGTGGCAGCCCCACTGTGCCGCCCAGGCACTCCCGGCCCCCGCCCCCGGCCCCCGGTCGGTCCCTGGGAAGCCCCACGCCGGGCAGGGACGCACCCAGTCCAGCAGGAACCGGACTGTCTCGATCTCTCCGAAGGCCGAGGCCCAGATGAGGGGGGTGAAGCCGCGCTCGTCCGGCTTGTTGACAAGGTTGTCACCTGGGGGGGTGGGAGGAGGAGGAGGAGGAGGAGGAGGAGGAGGAGGAGGAGGAGGAGGAGGGTGGTACCGCCGGGCTGCACCCCCGCCTGCTCTACCCGGCACTGCCGGAAGGGGGCGCCCGCGAGGGGGAGCAGCTGAACCGCATGCGCAGATGCGGCGTCGCGGCCCCGAGCGGCCCCGCGGGCGGGCACCCACCTTTCCGCAGGTGTTCCTTCAGCTGGCTCAGCTCCCCCTGGGCGGCAAGCTGGTGGATGGACAGGGCTGTGGGGGCCGGAGAGACGCAGAGTGCTCGCCCGTGCCCCGGCCGGCCCCTCGCCACCCGCTCCCCGGGCACCACACTCACAGTCCAGGGTGGCGGGCAGCGCCGAGACCTCGTTCCCCCGCTGCCGGTTGGTGAGCGTGGTGGAGTGCTTCAGGGAGCTGCCTGCGGGAGACGGCGCCGGGCCTCAGTTTCCCCGTCGCTGTCCGTCTCGGGGGTGGGGCTTGCGGGGAGACCCCTCCCCAGAGGTCCAGGAGCCCCAGGGGGGAGTCCTGACTCCCAGCTAATGGGCACCTGGGGAGGCACCAAGTGCTGGGGTCCCTACTGCCCACGTGGGGCACCCGGACGGAGCTCCTGGCTGCTGGCTTCGGCCTGGCCCGGCCCTGGCTGCTGCGGGCTTTTGCGGAGTGGACTAGCAGGTGGGGGACTCTCCCTCCCTGCCACCCCCCACCACGGCACACAGAGGTGTCGCCTCCCTGTCCAGCCCCGGGGCGGTGACTCACCCTGCAGCGGGGAGACGCTGGCCTCGGGCTCGGCGTCCCCGGGCTCCGGGGTGCAGGGGAAAAGGCTGAGCACCACGGTGTCCGAGCCGTCGGCGGCTTCATCCCCGGGGTCTTCGGGGTCCCCGTGCGCCGCGGTGGGCGGCGACTGCTGGCTGAGCGTGAGGTCCATGGAGGGGAGCTGGCCGGACGCGAGAGATGACAAGGGCACGGTCAACAGCACCACAGCTCTGGGCTATTTTTCTTTTTTTAATATTTCAAAGGCAAAGTGACAAGAGACCAGACAGACATCTCTCATCTGCTGGATCCTCCCCAAACTGCCTGCATGGCCAGGGCGGGGCCAGGCTGCAGCCGGGTCCCCCACGTGAGTGCAGGGACCCCAGCACTCGGGCCATCGCCGGTGCTGCCCCCGGGGGTGTGCACAAGCAGGAAGTTGGAACCAGATGCAGGGCGGGGCCCCCGCACCAGGCTCCTAGGTGTCTGCTGCTGTGCCAAACACCCACCCCAAACAGTAGGCACCATCTGCATACCCAGCCTTGCACCGGGAGGGTGAGCCGGAGCTGGAAATGGAAACCAAGGTCCAACTGCTCTCCGGGTCTCCTCTGCAAACCTTGCAGCCCGGGCGCTGGCGTCAGCTTCCTGGGGGCAAATCTGCCTCCCCCTCCCGAATCTGCCTCCCTGGCTCTGGGAACTTGGGCAAGGGACTCCAAGCCTCAGTTTCCGCCTCCATAAAATGGGGAGATGAGGCCGACCGTGCAGCACGTCCTAAGCAGCTGTACAGGGGCGCCTGGCGTCGGCAGGGCTTAATACTCTCTGAGGCTATGGGGGGGGGGGTGTCCCGCGAACGTTCCAGTCCCAACCGCGCATCCCAACCGATCCAGGAGGTCCGCTCACCTCCCCACGAGGGTCTCCGCGCCGCAAGCCCGGGTCCCCCAAAACTTGGGGGCCCAATTCGCAAACTTTTCCGTTCCAATGGGTATAGGTGGGAGCAGGCAGGAGCCCCGACCCTCAGCGCACTGGCTTCCTCTGCTGGGACAGAGAGCAACTTGATACGCGACAGCTACCCCCTCCACCCCCAGAGCTCCCCCAGTGCGCCTGCGCGCCCCCGCCCCCCTAAAATGCAAAAGAGCCCAAACGGTCTGTCCCTTTAAGATGGGGGGCGTGGTTTCGCGCTGGGGCCCCGAGCCTTGCAACTGCGCCTGCGCGTTCCTTTCCCCGCCCACTCTGCGGGCGTTGGGCAGGGCTCCAGCGAGCTTTGAGGCTTTCCCTCCGTCTGTGTTCGGCTCCGCCCTCGAGCTTTTCCGAAACGAGCCAATCGGCTTCAGCTTCCAGCGGAAGGGCGGGGACTTCCTCCAGGCGGAGGGAGGGGGGAGTAGGCGGAGCGCCCGGGATTTAAAGGGGCGACGTACCATTGTCGCCTCTACGGAAGTGTCTCTTCCGTGGCTCCCAAGGTTTATGAACGTGGGGCAGAGATTTGTTGGCAGCGTTTATACGGCCCGTGCCGGCTAGGGCGTGTCATGTCCCTCGCCCCTCTCCCGCCTGGGTGCCCCTCCTCACCCGCCTGCGGGAGCTCCGCCTTCCCTCCGTCTCTCGCAGCCCCTCTCCTGCGCAAGGAGACGGAGCGCAGTCCCACGGACGCAGCCGGAACTGGAGTCGTGCGACGTCCGGTTTGCGCGGGGAAGGCTTAACGGAGAGGACCCAGCGCCCGGACTTCCGATTCCGGTGCCCTGCTTCTGCCGGCCCGGGTCGCCATGGAGGAACCGGAGATGCAGATCAAGGGGAAGAAAGGTGGTCGGGGTCCGGGGCGGGACGGAGGGGCCGGGGGGGCTCGAGGAGGGTCGGCTTGACAGAGGGCGGGCGGGGGAGCCAGCGGTGCACCGGCCTTCGAGTCTCGGCTCCGCCGCTGCAGGTGTTGTCACCTGTCAGGTGGGCGGTGCTCGTACCCTGTCCGTCCCCCAGTCCTGAGACATCAACAACCTGGTATTTAAAAAATACTTTATTTATATGAGAGGGAGAGGGGTCTTCCATCCGCTGGGTCACTCCCCAAATGGCCGCAACGGCCGGGGCTGCGCCGACCCGAAGCCAGGAGCCAGGAGCTCCATCCGGGTCTCCCACGCAGGTGCAGGGGCCCAAGGACTCGGGCCATCGTCCACTGCTTCCCCAGGTGCTTGAGTTCTGGGGCGGACGTTCTAGCACAGCGGCGAAGCCGTCTCCTGGGACGCCCGCGTCCCCTATAGGAGTTCCTGGTTCGAGTCCCGGCGGCTCCACTTCCGATCCAGCGCCCGGGGGAGCCGCGGACGATGGCCCAGGTGCTTGGGCCCCTGCACCCACGTGGGAGACCCGGATGGAGTTCTGCCTGGAACTGCTTTAAAAAAAAAAATACTGGCGTTCCACGGCCACACTAGCCGCATTGCTTGTAGACCCGTGGGGCTAGTAGCTACCACCATGCCACGGCGCTGGGCTCCTGGGGCTCGGTCATCTACGTGAGGTCGCTGGATGCACTGGCGGCCTCTCTAGGAAGTCCTGCCGCTCCTCTCCGCCATGGCTGGGCGCCCCGACGCGCAGTCGGGGGTCTCACGCTCGGTCCCGTTGTCTCCCTGCCGCCCACCTCCCCATCCACCCCCCAACCCCCGCCCACCGCGGACCCTGGGCGCTGGGCGCAGTCACGGACAAGTTCACGGAGAGCATGTACGTCCTGGCCAACGAGCCGTCGGTGGCGCTGTACCGGCTGCAGGAGCACGTGCGCCGCTCGCTGCCCGAGCTGGCGCAGCACAAGGTGAGCCCGGCCCCGCCCTGGCCACGCCACACCCCCTGGGACCCGCCCCACCGCACCCCCAAGATCCGCCCCGCCCCGCCCCGCCCCCTGGGACCCGCCCCACCACGCCCCCCAAGATCCACCCCGCCCTGCCATCCCCGCCCCCGGGATCCGCCCCCCCACCACGCCCCCTGGGACCCGCCCCTGCCGCACCCCCAAGGTCCGCCCTGCCATGCCCCGCCCCCTGGGATCCGCCCCGCCCTGCCATGCCCCGCCCCTGGATCCGCCTCCCTGGGCCGGGACCCCAGTGCAGGCCACAGCAGGGCAGGCAGTATGTGGCCAGGTCTGTGCGGCGGGCACAGGGCCCAGCCTGTGCAGAGGTCCCACTGCACAGCGGCCAGGTGTTCACAGCTCAGACCCGAGGAGAAGGGGGTGGCAGGAGGACCTGGGAGAAGGGCCCCCCACAACCCCTGGCTGCCAGCTAACAGCGCCACCCCTGCCCGCAGGCCGACATGCAGCGGTGGGAGGAGCAGAGCCAGGGAGCCATCTACACGGTGGAGTACGCCTGCAGGTGAGGCCACGCCCCTGGCCACGCCCTCAGCCACCTGTCCACACAGTGGAGGCCTGCAGGTGAGGCCACGCCCTCGGCCACCTGTCCACACAGTGGAGGCCTGCAGGTGAGGCCATGCCCTCGGCCACCTGTCCACACGGTGGATTCCAGCCCGGGCCTGCAGGTGAGGCCACGCCCTCGGCCACCTGTCCACACGGTGGATTCCAGCCCGGGCCTGCAGGGAGCCTGGCCCGAGCCCTTCCCCATCTGTCTCAGGCAGTGAGAAGGATTCTGGGAGGCGCCACCAGCTCAGGACCGCGGGCCGGAGGGGTGGGTGGCACTGCAGGAGGGCCCCCGTTCTAGCTTAAATCTTCGGGTTACAAAGTGGAAGTGGCCGGTGTGAGGTTGGTTGGTTTGTCTGTTTAATGTTATTTATTTGAAAGAGTGACAGGGAGAGAGACAGACAGACAGACAGACAGACAGAGCTCCTCACCCACTGGTTCCCTGCCCAGGGGCTGCAGTGGTCAGGCTGGGCCAGGCCAAAGCCAGGAGCTTCTTCTGGGTCTCCACCGTGGGGGCAGGGGCCCAGGGCCGGGTCTCCCATTGGGTGCAGGGGCCCAGGGCCGGGTCTCCCATTTGGGGCAGGGGCCCAGGGGGCCGGGTCTTCCACGTCGGGGCAGGGGCCCAGGCACTCGAGCTGTCCCTGGTGCACCAGCAGGCAGCTGGAGCCGGAAGCAGGGCCAGTGGGATGCCAGTGCGCTCACCACCGGGCCACACACCCACACGCACCTGCAGCTCCTTCCAACCTCAGCTCTTGGGCAGCTGTGACAGGAGGGCCCGGCTTGTTGTGTGGCGCTTCGCCGTCTGCCAGCCCCTCGGGAGCCCTTGGGGAGACCCCGGAGATGACCACGCCCCTCGGGGAGGCCCCGGAGCTGACCACGCCCCTCGGGAGACCCCGAGCTGACCACGCCCTGCGCCCTTGCAGCGCCGTGAAGAGCCTGGTGGACAGCAGCGTGTACTTCCGCAGCGTGGAGGGCCTGCTCAAGCAAGCCATCAGCATCCGCGACCACATGAACGCCAGCGCCCAGGGCCACAGGTAGCCCCGCCCCGCCAGCGCCGGCGCTTCTGCTGGTCCTCTGCCTGACCCTGCCGTGGGCCTGGCAGGGGCCAAGACAGGCGGACTCGGGGGGCACCCGGCAAGCAGCTGACCGCGCGCAGGAAGGCGGCAGCGGGAGGGGCCTCCGTGACAGCTGGCAGAGAGGGGGCGTGGCAGGTGCCAAGGCCCTGGGCCAGGTGGCAGGCCTGGGGAGGTGGGCGTGGCCAGGGCCCCCTTCTTGCCCTAACGGACATTTTGGGGGTGTCCCGGGGAGCTGCCATGGAGAAGGCCCAGCCCACTAGGGACGGCCCTGGTGATGCGGATCTGCGCCTGTTCTCATTCTAACGTAATAAACGCGCATTTGAACCCACGCACGCACACGCACACGCGGGAAGCAGGACTCGGGCGGCCTTTAGAAGGGAGGAGCCGTGAGATTCGCCGGGCATCACCAAGAGGGCGTGTGCAGTGTCCGCCCTCGGCAGGCGGGGGACGGGGTTTGTCTGGGCCCTCGCAGCCGAGCAGGGCCCCTTCCGGCCACGCGTGGGCGCGCGGGCCGTCACTCAAGAGCCAAGGCTCCGCCTCCACCGCCCACTTTCCAGCGTGCTTGCCAGCGCCCCCTTGTGCCTGCTGTTGAGAAAAGCAACGTGCTGGCCGGGCTGGAGCCAGGAGCCTGGAGCTCGCCCTGGTGTCCCCCGTGGGTGCGGGGGCCCAGGCACGCGGGTCACCTTCCGCCGCTTTCCCAGCCCACAGCAGGGAGCTGGGTCGGAAGCGGAGCAGTAGGGACTCACGGGCTCCCGGTGTTCTGTTCCAGCCCCGAGGACCCGCCCCCGCCCTCCTCAGCCTGACCCCAGAAGAGCCCCCCCCAACCAGGTCAGTGTCGGGCGTGGCCGGAGCCCCTCTGCTCGGTACTAACTCGGCGTCGACGCAGGGACCTCCTGTCTAACCCCCGGGGCTCCAGGAGTGATGGGGGGCAGGTGGGTGTCCCACCCGGCTCGCCTCGTGCCCGCTCCCCCTGTCTTCCTCCTGCCCCGGCCAGACCCGCTCAGCGCAGCTCTGCCCCCGGCTGCCCTGGCCCTCTCTGGGCTCTGTGTGTCCGCCCCTTCTCTAGAGGTGACGTCACGTGCCCGAGAGAACGTGGCTGTGTGCTGTGGCAGTGAGCGCCTGCCCTGTGAGAAGCCACCCCCAGACTGAAAGTCTCTGGGCCCCCATGGTGCACCTGCCCTGGCTTCTGCCGGCTGGGCCGGGCACAGCCAGGCGCCGTCACCTGCGGCTCGCTCACCAGCGGCCACAAGCCAGGGGTCTCACGCAGCCGCTGTGGCTGGCAGAGCCGTGGTCTCCCCACAGAGCTGCCTCCTGCCCCTGCTTGCCCCGCACCTGTGGGTGTCTCTGGCCAGGGATGTGGCCATGCCCAGAGCGGGTGGGAGAGGCACCCGTCCTGGGGGTGTGGCCAAGCAGGGCCTCCAGGAGGGGCTGTAGTGATGTCCTCTTGGGCCTGTTGAGGACAGACCAGAGGTGCCCCGGGGGCTGACCGCGCCCTGGCCTGCTAGCTGGCTCCTGGGGTTGTCCTGGGAGGCAGAGGGACATGGAGCCCCCAGCCCATCAGAGCTGCTGCACCCAAGAGCCAGGAGGAAGAGGGTTTGTGTGTGTGCAGTCAGAGAGCACCCAGCTCAGTGAGCACTTAGGGAGCTCCACAGGTGGTCAGGGAGCATTCAGGGAGCACCACAGGTGGTCAGGGAGCACTTAGGGAGCACCACAGGTGGTCAGGGAGCATTCAGGGAGCTCCACAGGTGGTCAGGGAGCATTCAGGGAGCTCCACAGGTGGTCAGGGAGCATTCAGGGAGCACCACAGGTGGCCAGGGAGCACCACAGGTGGGGTGAGCACTTAGGGAGCACCACAGGTGGAGGGAGCACTTAGGGAGCACCAGGTGGTCAGTGAGCTCCTAGGGAGCACCTGCCCCTAGCAGGCTGGGCTGTGGACCTGTGGGTGCTGAGGAGCCCCGCATGCTGTGACACTGGAGAGGGGTGCCTCGTCTGGATTGCCTGCAACAGGAAGGACCCCCGGGGCTCAGCACTGGCCACAGCTCAGGCCCGCCCTCTCCAGCACCCTGGTCCCTCCCGTCCTCAGCACTAGGACACTGTCCACTGCCCGCGCCTCCTGCTGCCCCCTCCGCTGCCGCACCGCCCATGCTGTGGCTCCTGAGCCCGCCCCGGTCCCTCCGGCCCCCTCCCTCCTGCCCTCCATGGACGTGGCCCTGTTGCCCCTCCCAGGGCCGTCACCCTGTCGGGCATCACTGCCACATTTTCTAGATGAGCACAGAGGCTCAGAGACAGGAGGCGCCAGGCCCTCTCGCCCGGAGCTCTGCCTCGGCCTGGCCGGGGCTGCTCCTCCTCAGGGCGGCTGCGGCCCTGGGTCTGCCTGCCAGACCTCACCCTGACCTTGACCCTCGCCCTCCAGCCCCGTCAGCGCTGAGCCCTGTGCGACCTGGCAGGGACCCAGGCCGGGCCAGCGCGGCCAGCGCTTGGCTCTTGCTCTCGCCCAGAACCTCCAGCTCTCGCTGCACATAGCCTGGAGCCCCGTATTTTTAAATTGTATTTACTTATTTATTTGAAAGGCACACAGAGAGACAAATCTCCCATCCGCTGCTTCACTCCCTAGGTTCCCGCGACAGCCAGAGCCCAGCTTTCCAAAGCCAGGAGCCAGGAGCTCCCCCGGGGCTCCCACGTGGGTGGCGGGGACCCAAGGACTCAGGGTGCGCATGCGCAGGGCGCCGGCTCGGACCGGGGGCAGCCAGGACTCAGCCAGCGCCCACAGCGGGTGCCGGCACTGCAGGCAGCAGCTTTACCCGCCACAGCAGGCCCCGAGGACACCTGTTAAGACCCCAGGAGGCGCCGGAAATCTAGTCCTAATCCGTGTCTATACTGTATTTTTTCCTACACATACCTACGATAAGAGAGGAACAAAAAGCCATCGAACAGAACACTCCACCGTAGAGTCTAGCAAAACTGGCAGTCACCCCTCCACACCTGGCCCCTTACTGACTAGACGGAGGGTCACCGGACACGAAACACAGGCGTGGGCGGGACAGCCGCTCACCGAGCAGCCGCAGGGTGGCGTAGACGGACGGAGCGTTGGACACAGGGCAGTTCATGTCCCACCTGGCAGGGCGCGAGATTTCCCCACGCCGGCCCGGAAGGCGGTTTCAAACGTACGGAGTGGTGTATTTCTGGAGTTTCCCATCCGGTTAAGCCAGGAGCTTCCAAAGCCGCTGTGGGCTGTGAGGGATGTGGAGCCATGGATGCCCCGCCCCGGTCAGCCATGGATCCCTGCACCCCACTGTGTGTGTGCGGCTGCACCGACGGTCTCACAGGGGTCCTCTTCCGTCCCCGACAGCGCCAACCCCAAGCACAGATGGGAAAGTGGAGCCCCCAGAGGCGCTGTGTGACGTGGAGCCCGGTGCCGCCCCCTCTGGTCCTCCAGTGGACCAGGAAGACTGGGCTGGACCTTCTCCCCAGGCCGAGGTGGACGCTCACGGACCTGCCTGCCTTGAGAAACGCCAGCCTGGCTCCGGGGTGGGCGTGGGAGCCTGGTCGCAGGGATGGGTCTGAGATGAGCATCATGGGAAAGGAACCGTCCTCCCAGAGGGCTGGGTGGATGGAAGGCAGAGCGGGCACCTGGGAACATGGCGCGGGGCCCTGGGTCCACCTGTACCTGACACTGGGAAAAAAAAAAACAAAAAAACCCTCAATCCGTCTCCCCAAGCCCCGCAGAGGACTGTGGGATTTTTCTGTTTGCTCAGATTGGTGAGTGCAGAGGAGCTGGGGTGGGTCCCGGTGGAACGCACAGTACACGTACAGCTCCAGTTCTGCCGCGTGTGCGCCGCTGGGCCCCAGCCTTAGCTCCAAAAACCTCAGTTCCCCAGGAAGGTCCCGGCCGACCGGAGGACGCTGTTTGGGGGACAGCCAGAGTGGCTCCCAGGCTCACTGCTTGGCAAGGGCCCCCAGCTCACTGTGGGTGGGTGAGGGACTAGGGCGTGGGGCAGGAGAGGGCCCTGCGGGGGCGTCGGATGGGTCAAGGGGTCTGGGGGCCTGACAGGGAGGTGGGCCAGCCTCTCGCCGCCAGGAAACGGGGTCCGCCCCCCCTCCCTTCCTGGGGTGTTTTAGGGGGCGACTGGCTGCTGTAATGTAGGAGAGAGGGGCCCCAGCCTGTCACCCAGCAGCCCTGGGATGCGACCTCAGCCAGAGGCCAATCTTTCCTCCCTAACAGATCTAAGCCGGGCCCCCCCCCGGGGGGGGTCAGGCGCCCCTCGGCTGGGCGGGAATTCCAGGGCTCCGCGGTGTTCATTTAATTTGCATCTCATTTGCATGTCTGGCTCGCCTTTCCCACTCAGAGGACGCTCTCCCCATTGGCCGCCAGGGGGCGCAAGAGGCCAAGCTTCGTTAGGGAGATTTGGGCTCCAGGCGGTCATGCCAGCCGTCCTGGCTTGTCCTGGTAGGCCATGGTGACCTTCTGTTGTTCAGAGAGTGAACCGAGGCTCAGAGAGCCCAGGTTATCCGGCAGTGCCATGCCTCTGTCCCCCGCCGCGAACGAGAGCTCACAGCCTCCCCTTGTTGGGGGGCCGGGAGCACTGCAGGGCTCTCCCAGGCTGGGCCAGTAGCACCTGCTCCCTGCGCAGTCCCCGCGATAGGAGAGGCGGGTGGAAGAGGGGCAGTGAGCTCCCTGAGCTGTCGGGGCATTCAAGCAGGGACTCGTGCCCACGAGGGTAGAAATGGCCGGAGAGGGGCGTCCTCCAACCCGGCATGAGAGGTGCGCCCACCCCAAGCTCCACCCAGCAAGCCTGGCCCCCGACCCCTTCACCACCTCCCAGGCCCTTCTCTTTCTAACCTCTTCTCCAGCAACTCAGAAGTCAGATGGAGACCCCTGACTGCCCCCTAGGGGGCGCACTAGTAACGTGCGGAGGGTCCCGAACAGGAACAGGGCAAGGCAGGGAGGCACCTCGTGGGAGACAGGGTGTCGATGTTGGAGTGTACTCCTGCCTGGAAGAGAAAGACCCAGAGGGGACTGAGAAGCCAGGAGCGGGAGGTGGGGGTGGGGAGCCCGCGTGGCGGCAGGGGGCTGTGGACTGGGGGGGGGGGGGCAGGGCCAGCATTTCCCGCCACGCCCCAGCTGCTCCCAGAGCTGCCCCAGCTGTCGCCCTCACGTAACCAGAGCCTGCCTGTTGCATCAGAGGCGAGCAGGCGGCCGCGGGTAAACAGAGCGGCCCTCGGGGGGCCCGGGGCTCCCCAGCCACTTCCACGCTCCCCAAGCCTTGTTCTGTTCATTGGAGCCGAGGCGGAAGCCCCCCGCCCGGTCTGGGCCCTGCTGTGTCCTTGGGACGTCGGAGTGTGTGGCGTGGAGCCCCTGGCCCCCGGGGAGGGGTTGGGGGTGGGGGGTGAGGCTTATCAGTCAGTGTGGACTTGAATTTTCAGGGCCTGGGAGAACGCGCCCAGACTCCGCTCCAAACTGTGCCACAGAAGGGTAAACTGAGGCACGGGGCAAAAGATCAGGCCCCCCTGTTTCTTTCCTTACTGACCCCCGGCCCCCTGCACACACACTGCCATCCCTCTGAGCCCAGGCTGCCAGCTGCCTGTTCTTGTCTCCCACGCAGGGCACCAAGTTGCCCCCAGACCTCGACCCCCTGCCTCCCCACCTCCAAGCCCCCCACCTGGGCTCCCAGGCCAGTCCACTGGCACCCACGGCTCTGGCTGCATCGCCCACTCCCCACCAAACCATGAGCTCCGCATCTCGTCTCCCTCGGTGCCTGATCCCTCTTCCAAAGCCCTTCTCTTGGTGGCAAACTTCTGCTCATATGTGAAGACCCAGAGCAAATGCCCCCTCTTCCAGACAGCCCTCCCTGACCTGTCCAGCACAGCCCTGACCCTCAGTCTCGGTCTGTCCTGGCCTCCTGACCCTATCGGGCTGGGGGAGTGTGGGGAAGCCCAAATGGGGGCTTCTGAATCCCCCAACCAGCAGCCTCCCTCATCCTGTTAAAAAAAAAATTCACTTGAGACATGAGGAGACAGCTCCCATCCGCTGGGTCACTCCCCAAATGCCCACAATGGCCAGGGCTGACCCAGGACAAAGCCAGCAGCCGGGAACTCCAGGTCTCCCACGTGGGTGGCAGGGACCCAAGGACTTGAGCCAACACAGGGTGCGCATGGGCAGGGAGCGGGGAGCTGGGGTCAGGAGCTGGGACTCGAACCCAAACACTTTCAGGTCACCAGCTGTTTACCCGCTGTCGTAAACCCTAGGCCAAACACGTGCCCGGTCCTGTCATCCTTTTCACACTTGGTCACTCACCAACCCTGGCCAGCCCGGGCCCTGTGCTGGGTGGTGCTGGGAGGAAGGGGTGGGTGTGCAGGTCTGGGCTGGGGTCAGTTCTAGAAGGCAGGGGTGGGAGGAGCGAGGAAGGAAGGGGGGCGTGGATTGGGGGGGAGAAGCGTGGGGAAGGTGGGGGGGGTCAGGCGGGGCCAGCAGAGGCCAGAGCCCCCCGGGTCCCTTGCAAGCCTTGCACGTGTGGCTGACAGCGGAGGTAGGCTGCAAGAGGTAGGAGTTGTTTCACACTGGATGGGTAAGTTCGGGGTCGGAGTCAGGGTCCCAGCAGGGTTAAGGGGAAGCCGTAGTGTGGTTGGGGTGCGGAGAGTCTGGCTGATCTGAGGCACCCCCCATGGGCTCGGACCCCCGTGCCCTGCGCCCCGCGTCCCCTGCGCAAGTCCAAGCCTCTGCGGCTCCTGGGGCGGGGCCGCGCGCCCCGGGGCCCGCCCACCGCGGTTCCGCGGCACCGCCCTCTATGCAAATAGCTCCACCCCACCCAATCAGCTCCCGGGGGGCGGGGCCGCCCCTCGCAAGCACCTGCGGCCAGCCGCGAGCCCCAGGAGCGCTGGGTGTGCAGCCGTCGCGGGTACGGGGGCCGAGCGGCCGGGGGCCGAGGCGGAGCAGGTGCGTGTCGGGGTCGGGCCGGGTCAGCTCGAGACCCGTGCGGCGTCCCGTGGGTGACTCCTGGGGGGCTTGTTTGGGTTGGGAGGTCGGGGAACGTCGCTGTGCTCCCGAGGGTGGTGCGTGGTGCGTGTGTGTGTGTGTGTGATTAAGGGGTGTGTGCAGCCGAGGGGGTGTGAGACCCGGAGGGGGTGTGGGGGTCCGAGGGGTTACTGTGCGAGCATTGTGTGTAGAAAGGAATACCTGATGGGGCTGTGAGTGGGCGGCATAACGAGGGGCAGTGGTGTGAGGCCTTTGATAGTGTGTTCTGAGCTGTGTGTGCGAGCTGGTGGCGCTGGGAGACCCTGTTAACACGTCTGTACGCTGCGTGCCCCCCTCTGCTCGCCGTGTTCCCCACCCTGGAGATGCAGCTGGGGTGAGGGGCTACAGCTGTGCCTCAGTGTTCCCATCTGGGATATGGGTACAAGAACAAGAGCCCCGGCCTTCTGGGGCTGACAAGCCGACGTGGGTGGCCACAGGCCCGCCCTCCCTGGTTCCCAGCCAGCCCCCAGCTGCAGAACTGAAGTCAGAGATGGCCGAGGCCTCCTGCCTAGCCCAGGTGGGAGCTCTTGCTGGGGAAGGTCAGTGGTTCTCACAGTAGAGTCCTGCTAAGTCCTGCTAAGCAGATGTCAGAGACCAGCGCGCCGGGCCCCTCCTGTCTCAGCCCTTTCTGGATCAAGGAGCCATCTCGACTCCGGGGTGCAGAATGCTAGGACTGGGGGGGCTGTGGGATGTCACCTGCAGGAGCTGCAAGTGGTTTTCGGCTGGGGGAGCGGGGAGATGGAGGCCAGGTGGGGGCACCCAGGCCGCTCAAGGAAAGGATGGGGTTCAAGGCCATTCCTGGGTCCTGGAGAGAACAGAATCCGGGGGGAGGGGCAGGTTCTGGCTCCCGCGCCCCCACCCCCGCAGGCCGCGGCCCCTCTCTGAGCCCCAGGGCTGCCCCTGTGAGTTAAAACCGCTGGTTGCCCCACCTTGGCGGCAAGGAGTTCAGGCGTGTTGGGGTCTGGCTTCCTGGAAGCTTCGTGGCTGGCACCTTTGGCCTTGGCCATCGATGTTGTCCGTCTGGGATCCCAGCTCGGCACGCGGAGCGCATCCCAGCCCTGGCCCGTGAATCCCGCGGATGCTACGTCCTCTGAGGGCTTCTGTGGAGGGCTTGTGTGGCTGCCCGGACACCCTCAGACCCAGGGTTGGGTGTCTGAGACCCCAAGGGGGGGGGGTTCAGGGCTGGATGAACCCAGTGGCCCAGGCCGGGCAGGGGACCAGGTGTTTGGGGGTGCATCAGAATGGGCCTGGGGTCCACGCTCTCGGGGCCCCTGCCATGTGGCCCTGGGGGCAAGTCGCCTCCTCCCGTGTGTGAAGTGGGGCAGCCGTCTCCGCTTCACCGGGCACTGGGGCCAGGCAGGCAGGCGCCCTCAGACCTGGGCCCGAGGGGAGCCAGGTTCCCCCGACCTTGCCCTCTGCGTCATCTGAGACCAGGAGGGGGCCCCAGCAAAGATGGGCTGGGAGAAGGAGTGACCGCTTTCCCACCTTCCCAGCCCTGGGGCGGGGCTGCTGTCCTGGCCTCCCACCCCAGTGGACTTTCTGAGGGATCCTGCATCCGGCCACAGGGTCCCTCGCAGCCTCTCTGTGCCCCTGCCACACCGGCCTCCCCTTGCACCTGCAACCAGCCCAACACATTGCAACCTCAGGGCCTTTGCACCTGCCTTCTGTCCACCAGGTAGGCTGCCCTCTCCCCCCATCCCAACATGCCCTGCAACTCCCGCCCTGCTTTGCTGCTGTTCAGTGTCTTCCAGGCAGAGAACCGGGCCCCAGGCTTGGCTGTGTCCATGGTTGCCTCTCCCGTCAGACTGGGCAATGGGAGAGGCCGAACTCCATCAGCCCCCTGCTCCTGCGTCCCGGACATTTCTGGGCGGGGGGGGGAAGGGGAGGGGCCAGGCTGCCCGGCTGCGGGCACAGTCCCTTCCGCCCTGCGCTGATCGATGTGCTAATTTCCCAAGCAGGGAGACCTGGGCCTCTGGGGATGAATTTCTGGCGCCCCATGGGGAGATCTTTCTCTGGAACAAAGGGGAATCTTGGGCTGTGGCCCAGGGGACATCACGGCGGGGGGGGGGGGGGGGACGCAGTGGCCTTGGACTCCATCCGGGATCCGGTCTGGAGTGTGGGGTCTCTCCTGGCGGTGGGGGATCGGGGGAGGCAGAGGGGACCGCAGGGAGGGAAGGGGCGTTCCTGGCAGGTGAGCACACCTTGCCCGTCCGGGTCTACAGTGCGAACACCTTTGGATGCGCCCTCCTCGCCCCCCACCCCCGGGCCTGAGCGGAAGCAGGAGTTGGGGGGTGTCCAGAGACGGATCTGAGGGTCTCCAGTTGGGTCTCAGTTTCCCCGTGGGTGCCAGGATGCAGACACCCCCTGTTCCCCCATGCCGCCCAGCCCCCAGCCCACATCTCTCCCCAGCGGTGCCGGCCCCCATAGAGGGCGGGCCGCAGGGCAGCAGGGGCGGGGGGCTCGTGTGTAGAGAGCTCTGTGTATATTGGGGAGGGGCCTCAGGTGTTTTGGGGGGCACCTGTGTGTGCTCAGGGTTCTGTGTGCATCTGAGGGGCTCTGCTTGTGTTTGGGGAACCGTGTGTCTGGGGGGAGGTCTCTCTGTGCCTGGGGTCTCCATGTGCGAAGGATCCGAATGTTTTTGGGGTATGTGTGGGGGTTGGGGGACTCTGTGTGCATTGGCTTTTGGGGGGACTGCTTGTATTTTAGGGATTCGTGTGCAGAGGTCCTCATGGGCTTCCGGGGTAACTGTGTCTGAGGGTCCCGTGCACCGGGAAAGTGTCCAGATGTCCCCTGTTCTGTCCATCCAAGGAGCGAGTGTGCTGCCTCCTGCTGCTGAGCTGGGCTGAGGGGAGGTGACCCCCAAGGCCGTCCATGGGGGTCAGGGCCCCGGGACCCCCACTTTCTGGAGCAGGAAACTGAGGCAAACCCAACCCGCCCCCACCAAAGGCAGGTGCGGGCGCCAGGGGCTGCTGTGGGCCGAGCCACGCCCCCGTCACCCACAGGGCCCCAACCTGGTCCCCACCTCCGCAGGGCCCCTGGGAGGGGGCGGGTCTAAGGCTCCGGCTGCGGAGGGAGGGTCGCCCGCAGCTGGGGTCGGAGCCGCTGGAGCCCCCGAGAGAGGGGAGGGGGGGTCCCCGGCTTTCCAAGGGGCTCTTCCTGTCCGCTTAATGAGGTGCTTGGGGAGCAGGTGATGAAACCGCCGCCGCGGTTGCGTGAGGCGGGGCCGTCGGCCTGATTCGCTGCGCGGCGCACGAGCGGCGCCCCCTCCCCGCATGGCCGCGTCCCGCGGGCCCTCACCTCCCCCCCCCGGCCGCCGCCGCCACCGCCGCCGCCGCCACCCACCTGCCTCCCACTTCTCACTTCCAGGCCTGGGTTCCCCCTTGGCCCGAGCTGTGGTCTCAGAGGTGGGCAGAATAGGAGTGAAGCACCGCCCCCGAGGGGGGAAACACCCCCCTCCTGCTGCTACTGAACTTGAACTCGCAAACCCTGGGCTGCCAAGTGAGGTCAGGATCCCGTGACCCCTCTCACAGGGGGAGGAAGCGGGGACCTGGTGCAGCGGGGCGTGGCCGCCGTGGTCGCGCACGGAGGCACACTGACTCAGCGTCCCCAGCTCTGAGCACCCCCCCGCGCCCCCCCCAGCTTCTGGGAATCCAGATCTGGCATCCCCAACTCCCCCAGCCGGCGGCGGGAGGGGGATTCTCACCCCCGATTCCAGGGGAGACAGCAGAGCTGCCCCCTTGCAGAGGAGGAGGGTGGGGCCCCTTGCACTGTGCCAGCCTCTGGGTGGAAAGACCTCAGAGGTGTTTGCTGATCGACTGAGTGACCACCGAGACTCCGCCCCCTGCCCCTTCCATCAGTAAGTGACCACATCCCCGCAGCTGCACGCTCTGCTGTGGTCCCGGCCCCACGTCCCCGCCTGAGCACCTGCCCCAGGCTGTCCCTGTCACCTCCCTCCGTGTGGGCAGGGTGCACCCCGGGGCAGCCACAAGTAGGGGGAACTTTTAGATTTAAAACAAAGCAAGTGGAGAGAAATCCCACTCAGAAAGACAAGATGTGCAAATCCTCAGAGTGCAATGAATTGGCACCAACTGAACACGGCAGGGTGTCCCGGAGTGCAGGACTCCCTCCCCACCCCTCCGGCCACCTGCCCGGCGTGGCCTCTGCTCCAGGTAGCCACCAGGCCCACCACAGGTGAGCTCTTAAGAAGTTAATTAAATTGGGGCCGGCTCTGTGGCGTAGTAGGCTAAGCCTTTGCCCATGGCACCGGTATCCCATATGGAGGCCCGGCTGCTCCACTTCTGATCCAGCTCTCTGCTGTAGCCTGAGAAAGCAGTGGAAGATGGCCCAAGTCCTTGGGCCCCTGCACCCATGTGGGAGACCCAGAAGAAGCTCCTGGCTCCTGGCTTCGGATCGGCGCAGCTCCGGCTGTTGCGGCCATTTGGGGAGTGAACCAGCAGATGGAAGACCTCTCTCTGTCTGTAATTCTCTCAAAATAAATAAAATCTTTTAAAAAATAATTAAATTGAGAAGCAGAGAAAGACATAGTGAAATCTTCCATCCGCTGGTTCACGCCCCAGATGGCTGCAAAGGCCAGAGCTGCGCCGATCCAAAGCCAGGAGCCAGGAGCTCCATCCGGGTCTCCCACGTGGGTGCAGGGGCCCAGGCACTTTGGCCCTCACCTGTGCCTCGCAGTGTGGCCGTTAGCCGGGAGCTGGGGTTGGGAGTGGAGCTGGGAGCCCAGCGCTGGTGCTGTAATGTTGGCTGTGGGTGTCCCGAGGCCCCGAACGCCTTTTCCGTCTCGGAGGATGGACCTTCGAGTCCTCCTGTCTGGCTGATGGCCCAGCTAGCCCCCTGCTTCTTCCAGGGGTCGGTCTAGGCACAGGTTCGTAACCTCATCCATGCAGGGTTTGAGGTTACAAAGT